GGAACTAGAATCAGCTGAAATTTCTCCGCTAGCTAAAGGCATAGAAAATAAGAATATTTCAATATTTATGTCATTACAGGGCTTATSTGTGAATGATGATACAATATGAACAATTATGGTCTAGTCTAATGACGTCATCTATGTTTCGGCGAAGTGCATCATGGTAATGATGATTGTATCAAGATGGCGGATGCCTTAAAAAAAAAACAGGAATGGTCTTCTTATAAAACTATGCTAATGGGAGGACGAAGGCTAATCAGTCTATTGGAGGTCAAGAATCCTTTGGAAGAGCATTAATGAGAAGCATACACACTGGAGTATGTTAAACGACATGTCTGGGAAAATACCCTGAAACACCAGAATCACGAGCTAACAACAATCCCATGGTGCAATTCGCCAACGTCATAAGGGTCATAATGATCATTACAATCATTACCTCGGGAGTATTATCTTTTTTCACAAAAAGGATTTTCTGTTTCTTGAACTCGTTAGCTTTGAAGGTTAAGATTAATGCGCCAGTCGCACCAGTGAAGTCAGCATCTATTATCATAAAGACATCAGTTTACTGCTTGACATTTATCATTGTGATTATGATTATGATTGTGTTGGATGGATACGATTACGTTTATGAGTATATTTATGATTGTGTTTATGTATGACTAGGCTTATCGCTATATGGTCACTATYATATGATTCCCGTTAAAGGGACATGGTTCACTAGCATGCAATGCGGTCGTGTTTTAGATTTTTCATATATGGAAAATGAGGTGACTTCGAATATCCATTTGCAATCCGTTTCCATCCATCGGATTAAAGGTCGAATCTTAAAGCATCTACATTCATATAGTATAAAGGAATAATAAGGAGTAAGTTTTTGCTTATATTAAGATGAATTTCTATTTTCAAACATAAACAAAAACTCGAAACGGATTCTGGTGGACCATGTCCCTTTATGATGTGGCTTCAATACTCATAGGGCGTGGTATTTGAACGTTTTGAAAATGCAACCAAGCGATACGAACATATACGTAACTTCATTGTTCTAAATCTATAACAAATGCAAACCTCATTCTGTGCAAAAAATTCTCTCATTTCAATCGTGTTTCCCAGTCAACACAAACAAAAACAGAGAGTCCTGGGCAATTCGCTTTGGCGATTCGTCGAGAATTTCTTACCATTTGGAATGATTTTTACGGCCACTTGGCGCTTGTCAAGTGCACTACCAAGTCGAATGACATCAAATGAGAAGTCRCCACCTTCCTGCGTGAAAAAAATACAAATTAACGTATCTAATGTATGACTAAATGTATGCTTGTACATTGAGTTTGAATTAATGTCTTACTTTAAGGAATAAAGGAGTTGTATTTCCAAAGACAAACGTTCCTCCTGGATTGTCGTTTTTGRCRATAGTAATTGTTGCAGTTTCCTGTTAAAAGAAAGTCTAAATGTCAAGTATTTATACCAGCAGAGGCACGCGAGGCCGTTCGCATATTTCTTTACACATACCATTCCAGTTTGTAGCTTGTTTGGCGAGGAAACGTTACTTAGAGTAACAGTGAAAACTTCGTCAAGCTCTGGTAGATTATCGTGGTTGATGTAGATYGTAAGATTTTCTATTTGCTGGCCTGAAACGTTAATGGAATTAGATGAACATAAGTTTACTTATTCTTGATTCTTGCATCTATTCATTGATTAAAGGCCATCCATTAATCGAAGAAATCATTTTCACRCCATCAAATATGTATAAAATTACCTTTTTTAAAGTTAATAGTCCCACTGGACGGTCCAGCATCCGCAGCCGTGAAGTCCCCGCTACTCTTTTTGAGAGACCAATCAACAGTTACTCCTTCTGCAGTCCCATCTCTTAGTACTTGTAATTCAACCATTCGTGGRGAAAGACCGCTGGGTTCTTGTACAGTTAATGTCTGGTGGAATTTTGCGAAGCCAATTTCACCGTCAGCTTTTGAAGTTGAGATGTTGAGGTAGAGAATATTGTTGGGTCCGAACCTCGGTGTTGATGGAGCGACCTTAGGAGCGACTGAACAAGAAACGGAACGAAATGAGTCATCAAAGATAAAACTACTTRACATTGATATTTTAACGAAGATGCAGAAACAACAACCAAATAATTGTAAATAGAGCGGATTTCGTATGAGTGGGACACCGCACGTTTACCGCACAGTTACCGTACCTGGCCTGCAAAATTTTGGTGAACCAATGGGGCACTAGAATTTGGTTACAGTACGATTACGGTCGCAGTACAGTAACGTCCGTTTCGCACGCATACGAAATCCGCTCTAATACTAATTACAGCAACGATAATAATAACAACAACATCCAACAACAACAGCAACAGCCCCGAAAATATAACAGTCGACAACTGAACTAGAACTACAACCACAACATCGACAACCAGAACCGCAACAGACGCTACAGCAAACAACAAAACYTACCTCCTTCTAACTTGACATTATTCAACACAACTTTAAACACAGATCCCAGTTTAATAAACCCGTCAGACGGAATAGTAACAGTGAATGTTGCATTAGTTTGTCCCGCTGCGAGACCGACTTGACCATTAGGAGTCAATCCAAGTGAATTACTGGGAACGTTAGAACCGGGAAGATAGTATTCTACAGTATAATTCACCGATATTGARCGTAAAGTTCCTCCAGTACGATTAAGTGTTAGGCTAAGTATTCGTGGGGATTTGTCCTACAATGAAAAATACAAAATCAGAGCGTTAAATGGAAATGTATTACTTTTTTTTTTATGTATTACTTTTTCTTTTGCCAGGACCAAAATTCTGGCCGTTATAAAGGGGTGGCCGTATTAAGCGGAGGGGGGTAGCGCGGGGTTATTTTGTAGCAGTGTACAGAATGACAACTCACCCTGATAATATGTTGGTAACTTGAGCCWGCGAAGTCTACAACGCCATATGCATCATCGCTATCCTTCACGTAGAAAACAGCTCTTCGCGCGTCGATCGTGTTCGCAAGTCTACTTCCCCCGGTAGGATTAGACAACTGAACATAGAATTCYGCTGCCTCTTCTGGAATACTATCTTTTTTTACGACTACATTTATRGTTTTSATGTTATCCCCAGAATTGAAATTCAGAAGTCCCGATGTTGTGATGAAGACGTTTGCTAAACTGGCTCCACTTCCAGCAACGATAGCCCATGAGACAGAAACGCTTCCAAAAGTCCCAGCTGTTCTATTGACTACAAAAGTACCAGTGTTTGTGTTATCTTCGTCGAGAAAACGAGGAAACGACCCAAATATAAATACACCGTGTTGGTCGTCGTTAGGTAGGATAGTAACCGTGGCAACSCCATCCGGGATAATGTACACAGACGGTGAGGTAGWTTTTAGATGGATAGTGAAGTTCTCCGCAAGCTCTGGTGYATTATCGTTGATGATTTTTACATCAATAAATGATTTAGTTTTTCCAGACGCAAAGWTAATAGTTCCATTTTTGTTCTGAAAGTCTTTTCCAGAATGCGCATTTACTGGAATAAGGTACCAATTGATATCAACTGCACTGTTGATATTACCAATCGTAGTGATTCCATCAATTTGAAGGCCTCTATTAACCTGAACTTGTAAGGTAGTTTGGTTTTCTCGGACTTCGATGTGGGTGACTGGAAAACGCACAGGCGCGTCATTGRCAGGGATCCGAATTTGTAGGTCCCTAAAGCTGCTGTTCAGTTCAGCCCCTCCTTGTGAGGAGGTCAGACGAATAGTGAAGACTTCGTCGTTTTCTGGTTCCTGAAAGAAATTTTGGAGAAATGATTTTCAAAGGTATTCAAATATATATTGCGCCATATCATTGGTTAAGATTAATCGATCAATTATATTCTGCGTTTCCTGCTATCAACGTCCAACAYTTTTAGTTCATAATCAGCATCTCTGATTAGCAAGGATTGTTTCATTATCAATGCAATTCAAAGCAGTGTATAAAATTTCGGTGTCTTATATATATATATATATTTATAAAATTTTTGATATATAACGCGCGCTCTGATTGGCTGACGACCGTGTTTATATCAGAGGACAGAGACACGGCTTACCGGCAAAATTTTCTTTTCGCTCGAAAGATTTTATAAAAGAAATATAAAACGACCGCTTGTGTCTCTGTCCTCTGATATAAACACGGTGGGAGTTGAAAAACACTCGAGAAGCAAGAGAAACACTCGCTACGCTCGTGTTCCTAAGCTTGCTTCTCTCRTGTTTTTCGAACTCCCACCGTGTTTATATCAGAGGACAGAGACACGCGCGCCGTTTTATATTTCTTAAATACATTCATTTTATAATGGAATAAAAGATTTATTGCATTCTACTGCCGAAGAACTAAAGAAATATGGGTAATTATGTGTAAAAACTGAAGCTTTCTTTCGTAACAAGAATATTGCTTTTTCCTAAAGAATTCATATACTCATAACCCTAAAAAAATTGAATAATTATAATGTATACGAAAAAGAAATATTATTAAAAAATCAAAAAATAAACAATGAAATAATTTCGATTGCGTAGGTGACGTCATCAGGTCACGTGTTCTAAGATTGCATATTTTCCTTTCTTTGCACGTACTCCACAACAACAAGTGCACAAGAAAGAAAAAAGCCCTAAAGCTGACACTTTAAAAGGTATGTACAAAAATATTGTGGTGATTTTCTTGTATTTGAAAGTAGCTATGTGATTGGTAGATTAATCGATCAATTCTCCGTTTCCTGCTATCAACTCCCTACATTTTTAGTTAAKAATAACCTGAAATATAGAAAATTTCGGTGACTTATATATACATCAATTTTAATAACGGAATAAAATAATTATTGCATTCTATTGCCAATAGAGAGTGTTTATGTTCACTTCTTTTCGCAATTTCCATCGTCCGTAAGAAAAAAGCTGTGTACGATCTCGACTGATTCAACTTCAAAATACGTACAAAAGATGAACAAAAGGTTTCCAAACCATTCTCCTCTATTAACTATGTTTAAGAAATATAAAACGGCGCGCGTGTCTCTGTCCTCTGATATAAACACGGTGGGAGTTCGAAAAACACGAGAGAAGCAAGCTTAGGAACACGAGCGTAGCGAGTTCGAAAAACACGAGAGAAGCAAGCTTAGGAACACAGAAACAAGAATATTGCTTTTTCTTCAACAATTCCATATACTCATAACCCTAAAAAAATGAATAATTACTTGTGAATGAAAAAAAAAGAAGATCCGGTTAAAAAATCAAAAAATAAACAATGAAGTAATTTCGATTGCGTAGCTGACGTCATCAGGTCACGTGTTCTATGATGGCACATTTTCCTAATTTTTCTTCGATCAAATATTSTACGCAYWAGAAAAATCTTCGCACCTTCTGCAACAACATACTACACCTGCACAAGGAAGAAAAAGCCCTTAGACTTAATGAACTCATAAGCTGCTACTTTAAAAGGTATGTAAACAAAATTGTTGTGATTTCCTGTATTTGAAAGTAGCTGAAAGAAACTGAAATATTTCAGTTCGAAAATGGTCTCTCCTTTTTCTTTTTCCTCAATGAATAAGTAATTTAGKCTTATCTTGTTTCAAATAATACTTTCGAAGTCTTTTGAATATTGAATTTAATCCACTGGAGTCACTTTATCATAAGGCAAACGTTTTCCATTGAAATTGTTTTGCCAATAGCATTGCAAATGTAAACACGTGGATTACTTAGCATGATCYAACGACTTTTAGATTATTTAATTTTTCTCGCTAAAACAAACACTTTTTCTAACATATACTAGACAAAAAAGGAAAAAGCACAAAGCTGAATTCTTACCAGATATAATGTTAGCTGTAATAATCCTTAAARYCGCAGAAAAAAAATCTAAAAAATATTTCKTCTTCAAATGCCAACTTTCCCCAATGAAGCGCGCCATTTTTGAAACAACACAGGGAGCCCAAAGGTGCAATTCGTAAAATAATTGGAAAAAATCATTTTGAATGAAAAGTAGTTTTAAAACTATTGGAGGTTTAAAAATATAAATAAATGTATGTGTGAGACTGTATTAGAATTAAGAAACGATGATGAAAAAATTGCTAAGAATTTAATAGCTCTCTCGAGTGTTAATTAACAATTCTTTGTCAATAGGAGATATCTAAGCATGTAAGTTATAGCATATACAATACATACATTATCTGGTTTCACTTGAAGTGTGATATCTGCAGACTTTTGTCCATCAACAAAGCTAACTGTGCCTTTTGTCGCYACAAAGTCATTTGCTCCRTTATTAGGTCCAGAGACTATCTGTTCAATCAGAAAATACATTCATTCGTTTTTAAATAATCCTTGTTCATTCACAAGAGAAGTGTTATATYCAWGCAGTACACAYACGAACCTGCCAGTYAACTGAGACAGCCCCGTAGTTCCCAATAGAGCGWAGTAGCTCAATGTTCTGTGAAGAGTTACTTGCCAGTTCTTGGATGTCTATTGTTCCACCCTAATTAAGAGAAAAAAATCCTCAGTAGATATTAAAGGTGCATTTTCTGTACCTGTTACTAACTACAATATAGGCATGTATGCATATGCATCAAAAAGCAATTGTTTTTTATAACCCTAATTGGGAAAAAGTCAAATTTAGAACCGCATTTTGTCAGCTGCTTTTGCTTCTAATGAAAACCCTGAATATTGATAATGATAACTAAAATAATATAAACCCTCAGGTGTCACACGACGATACCTTTGAAAAACCAATGACACCATATGCTTTGTCATTTGCCAGGATAGTAATAGTTGCCTCTTTGGGATTTCCAAGAACACCATTACCATCACTAAACTTAGCAAGCGTAACAATGAATGTTTCATTTCCTTCAGGAATAGAATCATCTATGATGGTGAAAACACACTCCTTTTCGGCAGTGTCACCATTACTAAACTTCGATGCAGTATCTTTGTTTTTAAAGTCTTCTAGAGCAGTGCCATTAGTTATCTAAAAGTAAATACCATATTTATTATATYTCTTCATATAAGCCATAAAGAATGAGAGAACATGTTTCATCATCATGCCWTATCATTTAATGCAATGATAAAATTATAATATTTTTATAAAGGATCAGGTATCTGTATCAGGCTATGACATTTATATAGACCCCACTATAGACTAATAGCTCATGGATTATTAAACTTACTAGTTAATTGACAATTTAAGTATCAATATTCAATCTTAATGTACAAATGACACATTTTCACAGGATGAATAACATTTTTTATATCCATCTCAAGATGGTATTAGCCTGKTTTT